ATTTTTTATCTTTGGGGTACACATTGATATAAATTTCTATCTTTGAGGGTACAAATTGAGATTTTTGATCTTTAGGGGTGTACATTGATACAAATTTCTATCTTTGAGAGTGTAAATTAAAATTTTTGATCTTTGAAGGTATAAATTGAGATTCGAATAATCATTCAAGGTACAAAATAAAATTAAACCAAAAGAAAAAAAGCCTTTCCTTTCTTTCACTTCCTTGTCATCAGTGTTTCCACACCATGTCATAAAGCGCGTTCACCCCAAACCCATATAATAGCAACTCCAAGGGAGTTGTCATTTTTTTGGTATCAAATACAATTTTGTAAATTTAAATAGTATTTTGACACCTTAAATTATAAATTTGTTCTAATAGTGATGTCAAAATAGAGTGTTATTTTAATATTTTTTATTAAAAAATATAATTAAACTTAACCGATATAATTTTCATAACGATCGCAATTTACTGAATATATTTTTATAGTAAAAATTTAAATTTTCATATTTCAAATTTCAAATTCAATCTGCCATAAGTTATAAAAAAAATTATAATCAATTTAAAGAATGAGTATAAAATAATTAATTAAAAAATAAATAAAATTACCCTTAATTAAAACAAATAAATCTGCTATAAATTATAAACAAATTATAATTTAAAACAACAACAGGGTGACAGATGTAATTATAAATTACAACGCATTCTCTTCTCCTAAATAAAACGCTTCCTACCTCTTCCCCTTCCCTCCCTTTCCCCTGCGCCCTCTGCAACTTACAATGGCAACGGTTTCAGAGAGCAGTACACCAACGGATTGATAGAGAGCAATACATCAACGACAAGGGTTCAAGGAAGTTAGGGTTTTCGATATCAAAGGCAAGGGTTCAGGGAAGCGATTTTTTGGGAGCAGTACAAACAAACAAATTTTCAGGCAAGCCTCCTTTCCCTTTCTTCTCTCTGTATTTTTATAGAATTTTTGGGTTGAATATAGTCGTTGAGAGGAGCAGTAAACACCAACGGCTCTTTTGCAACCTCTCAATTATCTCTCCAAAGTTGTCAAATATGTCACCCCAAAACTCGTGATATCATTTTGACACCTCTAAAGTCACCCCCATTGGAATTCGAATTTTTGAAATTAGAGTGGCATTTTAACAGTTATGGGGATGCCACCCCTTATTGCAAACTCACATTAGAGTTGCTCTAAAGAAGCCAAAACAGTCTTACTTTATTCAGAAGTTATTACCAAAATACAACACTTTTCAAATAAAAATATTAATTTATCCCATTTTTAAGTTTGTTTATTGATTTATTGCATTTTTTAAAAATTAAATCAACAAAAATGCTTTTAATATTTACAAAAATATTCTTTTTCTCTTTTTGTTATATCACTTGTTAAAAACGAAATTGTTAATTTTGCTTTCATGGTGAAAGCGGAATCAACAATTTCACTTTCAACAATGAAAGCGGAATCGTTAATTTCGTTTTTAAAAATTGCCGTAAATCGGTAAATAAATTTAAAAGTATGATAGGTTGATATTTTTGTTTAAAAAATATTGTATTTTGGTAATAAATTCCAACTATTCATGATCTCGATGGTAATATTATTTGTCTTGAGCGATGTTGTGTTAGACTTAAACGAATAGTAAATTTATACCTTAAAAATTTGACCTTTCTTGATATTTCATAGGATTAACTTATATATACCTGTGGTTTATGAATAATTACCGGTACCTAGAATTTATTCTCATAGAATGAGTTGATGGGGTCAAAATAACCTCATCTTAGAAATGATCACATAAATATATATATATGTTATTTGTACATTAAGCATTTGACTTAAGTGATGGATATGATGATGTGATAAAGACAAAATTCAATAATATTATTATAATTTTAATTATTCAATTTTTTTTATTAGGACCATATCTCTTGCAAATCGTGTCTTCATATTAAGTTAAGTTTTTATAGTCAAATAAGACTACTCATATCATGTTAAAGCATTTTTAACCCTGATTCAAATTTATATTTAAATTAAAATTTGTAGTATTAAAAAATAGACTTAAAAACTATATTTGATAATTACAACCATTAATTTCACTGTGGATCCTAACATTTATTAAGACCCGTTGTCTAGTCAATAATTGGGATTATNCATGTGGATGATCACCAACAATCAACAATAATACCATTAATATTATGGATATTAATCAAGTCGAATTTATAAAATTTTTTATTTATACTTAAATTCGGGTCAATTTTTATTGGTGATTCGACTTCTAAGTCTAGATTCTTACTTTGACTCCCCTCAATAGAAATTTGTGAGTATTCAACTTAAACTAAAGTAAAAATCAAACTCAATTTACAAATACATCTAAAAATTAAATAAATGAAGACCAATATTATTTATATTGATAGAAACCTATCAAAACCACATGTTACTTAAATTCGGGTCTTAACGAAACAAAATCAAGTTGAATTTTTACCGAATTCAAATTTTTTGAATTTTTTTTTGTCAAACTCTGTCATCATAAAAAAAAAAAAAGGTATAATAAATTTCGAACTCGAAACTTTTAAGTTTAATAATCGGGCCGGTGACCATTATGTTAATAAATTGCTGTGAATACAAGCGTGTGGAATTCACGATTTTTTTTGTGGAAGTGGTTCTAAGGGTTGGCCTTGGGGATTTGATAGAATGAAAAACCTGAAGTTTCACCAAACGAGTTGTGACTCGGTGACAAAACAATACAACACAGTGGAGTTCCTACTTTCTTCATTATGACGAAAATACCCTGCAAAGCATTTATTACGTACTTTATGCTCCTCTCCCCTCCTGGTTTTAAGCTTTCTTTTGTAGGTTTTTGGTCCGACTTGATCATTGCCAGTCTCGTAGTGGAAATGCCTTTTTAACATTAAAAATACCAACATGGGGGCGAATTACACTTTGATCCTACTACATTTAAACAATTTTATTTTATACTTTTAAAGATTAATTTTTTTACATTATTTCCTCAATATATTAAAAGCGTTACAAATGGCTAGTGACCGGTTTCCTATCGCTAGACCGTTTCCCAATGCGCAAAGCCCCAACGAGGAAGTCTTATTAGTTTCTCATTGGGTGCCCTTTCGTTATTAATTTTGTCAATGTTGATGTGATAATTTTTGACAAAATGAATAATATAAACTAATGGAAGAATCATATTATTACACTTGTAATAAATTGAGGATGCACTCTGAAAATTTAATTTTTAAAAGTGTGACATAAAAATTATTAAATATTTTGGGGGTGAAAAGTATGCTTTTCCCTAAGCATGTGATGATTAAAGTTGGTAATGGCTGCTTCTAAATTTTTAATCAGGCTGAGAATACATACCTTGACCTTGAATATATAATGGCAGCTGCATCAACGTGGCTTTCACTTTGCTGGTTGCTAGTAGGTGCATTTGTGTTATACATATTATGGATCAAATTTAAATCAAAATTTGATCGATGTAAACACTATGATTATAAAAAATTTATGTGAAATCTGATTCGAACAATTGGTGAATTTAAATTTTACGATCTATATTCTAATGAGAGTAAATTTGGTAGAGCATGAGTTTGACTTGTTCGAAAAGGAGTACGACAATTCTCCAACTCGATATCTCGACATATTTGACTACTCAGCTCACTTGGGGCATATTTGGTTGCGGGATAAGAGTGGTATAAAAGGGTGGGATTAAAAAAATAGTAAGTGAGACCTATTTTATATCTTGTTTGTTTGACATTTTTTAATCAATATTATTTTCTGGGTCATAGTATTGATTCAGTGTGAACAATCACTGTTATGTCTTCTGTATGATACTAAACAATACTACCTACTTGGTGGTATTATATTCTTGGTACAAATGAAATGGAGGTATAAAAGAATAAAATGACACAAATGCTCTCCTATGAGAAGAGTTCACATATAAAAATTTATTTTGATTTTTTTTATATTATATTTAACCGTACGATGTCACCATTTTTTTTTTTTTTTTTAAATTTTTTTTTTAAAATTTTTTCCTTTTATTATGTTTAACCGTACAGTGTTAACGGTTTTTTTTTAAAAAATTATTTCCTTTACCATGTTTAACCGTACAGTGTTAACGGTTTTTTTTTTTAAAATTATTTCCTTTACTATGTTTAAGCGTACAATGTTAACAGTTTTTTTTTTTTAAATTATTTTAAATTTTTTCTTTATATTATATTTAAACGTACGATGTTAACGGTTTTTTTTAAAATTATTTTGAATTTTTTTTTTGTATTATGTTTAAGCGTACGGTGTTACCGGTTTTTTTTAAAAAAAATTAAAAAGAAATTATTGTGAATTTTTTCATTATATTATGTTTAATCGTACAGTGTCACCGGTTTTTTTAAATTATTTTAAATATATTATTTTGAATGGAATGGATGATATTAAGGATAAAATGATATATTTGTTATATAAGATGTGATAGAATATATGATTGTTTGTGAGACCCATTATAATACCTATTAAACAAACAAACAAGGGAAAAGATGAGATAAAAATATAAGATCGGTTATAGTAAACTACTGAATAGGAGTGGAATGTAAATGATTTCTAATACCACGCAAATTTAATACTACAAACAAACAGGCCCTTAAGGGAGAAATTTACTTCCATTTAAGAACCGAAAACTCGAGATTCATCTTAATTCAAACTAAGGGATAAAAATCCCTCAGCAGTAACATGATGCCTATAAAAGGAAGGAAAGCAATCCAATTTGGTATTCAATTTCTCGTGTCATTTCTAACTTAAGCGTGGGATGATCGAACCCTTTAGCCCCTTCGATCTTCAACTTGCTTTTCAGGTGTTCTCTTTGGACGATTAACAGACAATTTCTAGTGTCAACAAATTCAATTGATTCATCCCTAAAAACTCAATTGTGCTGAATTTTAATGAATTGTGTAAGAATTTTCAGTAAAATTTTCCAAAAAAATCACTTGCTGCCAACACATTCATTCAGGTATGTGTATCAATATTTGGATAAAAACTATAATTGAATCAGTAGGTTATAAATAAAGTGGGTAGGGTTTAATGATTCCAAATTATCTACCAAAAATACCTTTCCCTTCTCAATAATCAAATTCCAACTAGTATGATCAATCCAAGGATGGGAAATGATGGTCATTGGTGGAGGAGGTGTGCGGTGGCAAGCTAAACGTGAGAAACAAAACAATCTGAATAATCTTATCTATTTCTGATTACTTCGTG